GCGAAAAATTTGACATATATGTACCGCGTATAATCTGGCAAGTCATGTTTAAATATCTCAAATATATTTGATCAGCTATAAAAATAAGTCTGTAATCAGAGCCGTAAAAATGAAAGCCTTTAAATATCTAGCCGAAAAATAAAGGTGGCAGACGAACACGGGCAAACAAACGTTAATACAAAAAAGAAAAAATTACAAAAATGTATGAATGAACCAAAACAATGTGGGAAAGAAAGAGAGAGGCGTAGCGGTGGGAGGGAGACAGAGAGTTGCCAGCACTTGGCGGTCATTGTTCCAATTTCTAACCATTTTTTATTTTTCTTTTTTTTATTTCGTGTATGTGTGTGAATTGTGTGTTGTGGTGATTTTATTTCTTCTTCTACGTTTTCCAAGTGTTGTTGTTAATTTGTTTGGCTGTGGCGCGCATTTTTCACACACTACTAAACAGGGGGAAAATGGAAAATCCCCGTCCATCCCGCAACCATCCTTGTCTTGTGACTCTGGTTTTGTGCATTAAAGCCTGCAGCTACCAAATACACCACAATTTAAGCATTTGTATTCGTGCCCGTGGCTCACATGTCAGGTTGACCGCCCAACGAAAATAGCAGGAGAACAAGCCAGCAACAACAACGAGAAAATGTAGATAGTGGAAAAACCGGAAAAACAAAAACTCAAGCCAGGCAAAAAGGGACAGACAACAAGTGGAGGACTTAGAAAAGGGCAAAGATATTTAATCTTGACACAAAGCTGCCGGCAAGAGAATTCAATTCAACAAATTCACAGATAAATTTATTGAAGTTTTTATCTCCTAAAGGTTGAGCTTCGTAATTGTGCAGATGTATGTTTTTCATTTCCAACCAATAAGTACGAGCTACTATTATTGGTATTTTAACCAAAATGTACATACATATGTATGTACATAAATATGTTAGTGCCGAAAATTTAACAGAAATGTGTGGGTATATTACTATTTTGACGACAAAACACAACTTTGAACCAACTTTGAAAACCAAAACAACCGCTGACATTTGTGAGTGATTTGGCGGTTCAACTAGTCGTATACGTGATATGCATGTGACACATCCAATTTGCAATGCTGCCCAATGCAGATATAAATCATAATTAGACGATAGTAACCAAGGGACTGGAATCAAAACAACAGTCCCATGATACATTGCTAATAAGGCTCGTTTAGCCCGGCGTATACCTAATTTTCAATGTAATAATCAAAATCACATTTTGGCAGCTTAAAAAAATAATGTATTTACTGTTTCACATGGTTTGAATTTCACGAATTTCATGAATTTACCCGATTCGAACTCATAGAACGCTTTACCCCACGCTTGAATGCAACAAACATATTCAAGAATGCCAACCAAATCCTAACTAACTAACTTTATTAAAGCGGATACAGGACCTTTTCAGGGGCGGAAAGCGAAAGGGGGTGGCAACTCTGGTGGGGAGGATCCACAAAGGGAATATGCACTAGACAATATGCAATGTTAGTTTGCTGCTGCTACACCATTTTTTATTTCTGTTCCCGTCCAGCGATTAAAAGCACCACTACACCCAAAAGCACACACCCATGCACACACACACACGCATGCATCGCAAAATAGATAAAACCAAACACATACCCTTGCAGATAGAGAGAGAGAGCGAGAGAGATAGAGAGAGACTGCTGGAGAGGGCGGGAAAGAGAGGGGGCGACTGACAGCTGCCGTCGGCTTAAATGGCGCTTACAGCAAACGCAAAAATTCGCGCCAAACAAAAACAAAATCCAGAGGATAGAAACAACAAGCAAAGAAACATGAACAAAATTTTTGAAAACATAAAGCATAGGTAGACACGGATACGGGCGGCATTCGATACAGCAAACTTGGATTTCTTATTTATGCACAACAAATAAATTGGAAAAATGTATTTGATATTCCGCATGACTCATTTCCTAACCATATTATCTTATCCCAACATAATTCGTTTTATAGAACCTTAGAAATTTGTGTGTACTTTGTTGTTCAACTTTTGAAATAGTTCCTTTGTTGCTGCTATCGAATGCCTGCTGTAGCTTTGGAAAATGGAATTAACGTTCGCATAATTGAGCGCAAAAATTGTAACTAATAAAACAGCCAAGTAAAAAAAATGCAACAAATTCAATTAAAGCAGCGTGCCAAGAAGAAGCATATCCAAAATCTCTCCTCGCACACACGCGCACACACACGCACACTCACATACAGCAAAACAAAGGCAGGCACACACGCACAAAGTGAGTGTGAAAATTAAATTTGCCATGCTATTAGCATTTGTCTACGCAGCGAGCGGGAAAGAGACAGCAGCGGGCGGTGGGTAAGAGACGGGGCGAAGCGTGACTGATGCGAAGAGTATGGTATATATCTATATAGTATATATACACACGCCACATGTATGGGGCCCATTTTTTTTTTTTGGGAGTTTGTGGAGTTCGGAGCACATTTTGATGGATAGTTAAAGAAGATTCTCTTGTCAGACACGTGTTCGACTGCTTGCTAAGCAGTGTTAATGTGACACTTTGCGGTGAATTGGAAGGGTGGTGGGGGGTGTTGGGTGGTGTTGGGTGGTAGGAATTTTCCGGCTGCTCTGCAACGCTGATTCTTCGGTTTTCATCCGGTAAATTGCTAAATAATTCAGTGCCCCCGCTTAAAAGTACTGGCTGCGGTCTCCACTTGGCACCTCCGCTGCTTCATCTTCTTGCACAGTGCGTTTTTATCCGCTCGAGTGACTTTTGTGGCCCACTGTTTGTGCAGTCAAATGTTTTATGAACAATTGAACAGTTTAATTGACTTTAAATTGAGTTGCCTTCCACCGAAATTTAAAGTCATGCTCACCACAAAGTCGATTTAATTGCTAGTTGCTTTTAGCAAAAACGTCAAGACAGCCATTTTTGGAACTACTCGATGCCAGCTGCTTTTGGGCTAAAATTTGGAAATTTTCAAACTTACTAAGGTCTAATCTATTTGAAAAATGTTTCTATTTAAAATATGTACATAACATATACAACTAGAGAGTTCCATTAATGCGTTGACCTATTTTTTTCGGCATCCTTGGCGCTGCAAAATCATTCATCTTTGTCGTCTCAAATCGAATTTATCAAAGTCGTTGATAAAATAATTTGACCAATATTACATATGGATGTGCATACAGCCATTGTGCACACATACACCTACACACTATACATATGTATGCACTTATGTGGCCGAAAGGAGTCAACGATCGGTGGTCATTCAACTTTGGGCTTTTCACACTTGTCCGCACTCTTATTTCGATTAAAAGTGTCAATTTTTTTGGGTTGCTTTTTGCTTTCTGATTTGATTTTCGTACGCTAATTCAATTAGATTTATGTGCACCATTTGACATGCTCCCCTCTCGCTTGCACGCCGGTCGCGCCGTCCCACTCGCTCGCACGCAATGCTTTCTGTTTGCAGTCGTATGTTTATTTATTTCTGGACATGTCGCTAAATGGGTTTTCTTGTTTGTTCAAAATCAGATCATGGCCAATAAATCAACACTCAATTCGATTTTGTGTGAGTGGGTGCTGTGCGGTTGTCAAGCAAATTGATTTGTCCATTTCTTCGAGGGGTTGAACAAATAGAAATGGCAATGCCAATGCCAATATTAATAGGAGCATGGGTATAGATAGATAGAAATAGAAGAACCGGTGAGCAGGTTATGTAAATCCAACAGGAAGGGGCGGTTCGGTTTTTCCGTTCGTCAACTTAATAACCGAATCGCCTTAAAAGAAAAGCCAAATCCAAAACCAAAACCAAAACCAAACCGAAAACCAGCCCAAGGAGTCACAGTCAAAGTCAAGAAAAACTTGTTTTCCACCGCCAAACAGCGGAAATTGTCGGGCTATTATGGTTTTCTTTTATTTTTGGTTAGCTTGCCTGGCTTTTAAGCTAAACCAAGTCAAAGACTCATAATTGATACGCAGAAAGAAAGAGGGAAAATGCGATAGATAGGCGGATGGAGAGGTGTGTTCGCTGCGAACCAGTTGGAAAAGTGATAATGAATTCGAGGAAAACTGTGTCACGGAAAACCGTGGAAAATTCAATTGGAAAACTGGAAAAAATGCGACATTTTCTAACATTAAATCAATTAAAATAGAAACCGATTTTGTTTCTATTATCTTTGATGTACTAGCGGGCACAAATTTCTATTTAACTATGGAAAAAATGGCTGTTTACTTACGAGTATATACAGTTGCGGAGACATTAATAGCACCATGTATATTACCATAAAATCAAGTATACGCACTGTTAGCTTTGTAAAGCCAAGTGATTGCTGGTTACTCACCCTTTGCATTTAATTATCATTTATGATACATGCAGACGGATATTTTATGTACATCTTGTACGATCCTCCACCATCAATTGAATATCGCTTTTTGGGGTAATACTTAGTATTTGACACTTTGGCTTATTGAAATAATTGAATTTGGAACGAGATCGAATGTTCGATCGTACGCTTGGATCGCAGTTGCAGTCGACCTTATAAAATGGATGCTGATGCTGATTTAATTAGGCACTCGAATTGAGACTTGCTCATTTTCAGCACGTACTGAATCCAACGGCCAATGGCCAATGGAAAATGCAACTGGCTCGCATTGAGCCCGGTTATGACCGACCCGCCGAGCACAGTGGTTCAAGGTCCATTTGCGGCGGTGTAAATTGCAAAAAACCGGTGATAATTTATCGACTGTCTGCGTTTGCTTGCATATTTTTGGATTTTTGTTTAATTACTCAATTTGGTCAGGCACGTTGAAGTTCTATTTTGGTGTTTTATTTATTTGCAAACGTTGGTGTGGAACTTGAAGTCTTTAAACTACGCCATTTTTAAATTATTTAAAATGCATTTGAATTGTAAGCATTATCTGATTTTTATTTGATATATACTTGTATTTTTTTTCCTTTTCGCATACTTTCCACATCATATCCACTTTATTTAAGTCAATTTGACCCAGTATGCGGGAAGTCTGTGCAATTTTCTGCAACCTGGGGCTTTTGTGTGGAGTCCCATTGTCAATATGCCAGCCATTGGGTCTCCAGTCGGTGGTCTTCGGTCTCCGGTAGTCTTTGGCCGTCTCCTGGAGTCCCCGGTCCCCGATCCCCGATCCCCGGTCCCCCCCCCGGTCCCCGGTCCCTGTCCCTGTCCTCTGGTCCGTTGTCCCTGGTCATTCACATTATCGTTGCATGTGCCGAGAGGTAACCCCGCATGGGTGTGTTCGTTCATCTTTATTTCTTGTGCGTGCAAAAATTCAACAATTGCAGAAATTGAAACTTTTGCCTCTTGCCGTTGTTGCCACACACAGAAACATTGAAAGAAAACTTTCAGACATGAAAATCGTAAAAATAAAATGAAATAAAATAAAATGTGCACACGTTTGCCTGTTTCTGTTTCTGTTTTCAGTTTTGCTGCTTTCTGTTTCTGTTTCTGTTTGAGTTGGAGTTTGTGCCCTGCAGACAGACGCTTAATATGCCAATGCACTTTTTCCGAGGAACGGAGTGCTTTTCCAGATCCGGATCCCATATATGTATCCCTACCCATTTTACCCCACACCGTTCCGTTCTGCCTCACATTTGTGTTTATTTAATCTTTCACCGGCAAAATTGATATGCCCAAGTAATAAACAAACATCGCTGAGTAAAAAGAAAAAATATGAAAATAACACAAATTGAAATTTATGTTTCAATATTTGCTTAATGTCTCAAGAAGCGGTTTTTCTGAGGCAAGTGGCTGTTTGTGCTGCACAATTCAAATCGATTAAAGTTTAAAGTGTGCTAAGTGCTCGCCTTTAGCAGATTTATTCAGATTTATTATACCTTACGAAATGGGTCTTGGTTTCGATTGAGGTGATTTTTGGATCTAGATTGTAGAGCTTTTTGTTTTCCATGAGTTTAATTAATTAACTTTATTATTTCTTCGGCATTCAGGCAACATGTATTTCTGAAGCAACGCACAGCTTGTAACTTATTGCATAAAATAACTGGCTTATCTTTCACTTGCCATTTCTTTAGCTTAATATTCAAATGATTCTCCCTTTTTCATCATTAAATTCGTGTTTTTACCACGCTTTCGCATATCAAGCATACGCCGTGTGGTGCATTATGTGGAATATACTGCTCTTCGCTGACTCATTCTGCGCTGCTCTTTCAGCGAGTTTCTGCTGCCTTGCCACATTTTATTTGGTTTTACTTGGTTGCCCTTTTGTTTGCTTGTTTATTTGTTCTTTATATATATTTGTTGCCCCACTCTGGCCATATTTTTTGTTTACTTCTTTTTTTATGTAATTTGCGCACAATTTGCAGTTCATTGTTTTTAAAAGAGAGCGAGAGAGAGATAGAGGGAGAGAGAGAACGAGGGAATGGTAGAGTAACCGAAGTGTGCCTCATCAGGACATGGGTTAACCCACTCTATCAGCCACTTTTTGCTGAAGGGAGCCCCTTAACCCATGTTGCCAACGACCCTTCTTCCTTTCGCCCCTCTCTCTTCACGTTTTTCTTTCTTTCTCTAGGAGCTTTGCTACTCAGAGTTCCATTCTTCGGCTCCTCATTTGTCTGTTGTTTATTTTTTCAGCCTCAAATGTGTCTGTTTTATATATTTTATATAATATACAAATATATGTATACATATTTTCTACATAAGCCCATGTTGAGTGTGTGCGTGGGAACAAGGACAAGTTGCGGCTTCTGCGGGCAATTTCTCTGCTACTTTCTCAAATAAGCATTTCAATGCAATTTTTATATAATTTTTTCCCTCCACTCTCTCGCTTTGCTAATCCACTGTTGACATGCAATTTGATTCAATTATCATGATTTTGTTTGAGTGTGTGCAGTTGTCTCTTTTTTCTGTCGCAGTTTTTCCTCAGTTTTTCTTTTTGTTGTTTTCTTCTCTCAAGAAGCGTGGGAAATTTAACAAGCTTTTGACTGATTTTTCCCCATTTTTTTGCCTGTTGTGTGTGTAACTCATGCAATTATTCAATTTGTGGCCAGCCATTAGGGCAACAGAACAGAAAAAACCAAAAACGTTTGCGAAATTTGTAATTTTCCTTGTGTTTCACTAATTAGTTTCGATTACCCAAGGTATATGTAAAATTAGTTATTTTCCCCCAAAATTAAGGGCTTCATTCCTAATTGGTTTTCACTGTACCAAATGGATTTACAACTAAGCGATGCGTGAATACGAAATCACAATCAAATTTTAATGCCTTTTTGTCGTAGTTTTTTGAGCAATTAATCGTTTCGCTCTTAATGATTATGCTCAATAGCTGTCTCGCTCAGTATCTGTGCAGCCATCTCGCTTACGCACTCGCTTGTTTGTTTCATTAATTAATCATTGCTGACATCACGCATACGCAACGTCTGCTGCATATGCAACTTTTGTACGGGAGAATTGCAAATACAAATTGCAAAAAAAAGAAGAAACAAAATTAAATTAAATTCATTGGTAGAGGAAATTGAACAATAAATAATCAAACTCTTTCATAAGAATTACAAAGTATACCATTATTTTCATTCTACAAGTATTAGATTCATTTCTTAGACATTTTATATGAATAAAGAATTTGGGATTTTTTTTTCATTTTAATTCTGCTCTAATTTGTTGTTTCTAATTAAGTCAGAATAATCTTCGCTGTGCCTCAACAAGATTCCCCATAAGATTGAAAACCCTGCCCCTATTACCCATCTCTTTCTTTCGCAATATCCCCCTCTGCTTCTGGCCAAAAATTGCTTTGGCGTCGCATAATCGCCGCAGTGTTGCAACAAGAATAACAGCAAAAAACCCATTTCCCCCAGTAAAAGTAATTTCTATGCAAGGCCAACGACAGCAACCGCTGCTAGTGCGAGCGAGATGACTGCGGCGAGGAAGCGAGATGGTGAGAGGTAGAGTGACAAAACGGCACTTTTGGGCGAGCATATTTATGATGTGTGCGAGTGAGTGAGAGGGCAGAACAACCTTTGCATGTGTATCAAATAATTTAAAGGGCAAAAAGGAAGAAAAATCTAAATGGAAATCCGCACAAAAAATAGTAAAAGAGATCGTAGAGATAGATAAGATCAAAGGACCACTATGCCCATCAAAAGGTGCTTTTGGCTAATTGAAAACAAAATGATGCAGCACAGCTACACTAAGAATGTTGTTGGAAATATACCTATTTAAATATTTAGATGTGTTACTTGTTTATGTGGACTTTGTTAGCTTTTATTTTAAATGACTCTGCTAAGTGCCACAATACTTAGTACCATAATACCATAATTTGACCCGAGGAATCGATTTAGACTCAGAGCATAACTTTTACGTGCCAGGACACTTGAGATCGCTTGCTGTTTTCGACCAAATCCCGCAATCGCATTTTCTTGCACCAGCGAAAGGAAAAAAAAGAGAAAGGAAAATGTATTCGACCATCAAATGACGCTGCACATTGCAGATTCGCTTTTCCGCAAACACATTCACACACACACAAGCACACACACCAAATTTAGTATCGCATAAAAATTGCTGAGAAATACACACGGAAAACATGACAGGACGAGCACGAAGGAACTGCAAAAGGAGCGGATAAAACGAGGACAACAAAGTGAACACTGAATGGACAACGCTCTTGACCACTTTCCAGCACTTGGGTGGAGGGGGTGTTGGTGGTGGTGGGGGGAGTGTTGTGTGTCCCAAAGCAGCTTAACAACTCAAACATCCTTGGGCAGCCCAAAAGCACCCAGCACAGCCCACCATACAGACCACCCACAAGCCCAATAACTTTGGGGCCAGTCAAAGTCGAGGCGTTTGTCGCCGAAACGAATTTGTGTGTCACTCAGCAAATAAGTCACACACACAGCACTCAAAGGTGTGGGAGTGTGTTATGTGTGTGTGTGTGTAGGAGGGGCTGACAGTGGGGTAGGGTATCTGAAGGTGTTGACATTGCCAAACTCGATGCGTTGTTGCCCAAACTCAGGGACCACCGCATTTTCCCTCAATGCGATTCAATCGAAAATGGCTTGCACAACAAATGGAGCAGAAAAATAAAATGAAATTGAATTGAAAAATAAGGGGTTAAATTTACCTGATTGTTATGCCCTTTCTCACCATGCAATGACATCTACATCTCTTTAAAACTAAAAAGTCCACTTGTTTGAATAGCTCTCTTAAAAATACTTCTTACGCTTAGGACGTGATGCAATTTTCTTCAATAAACCCAGACTCTGTGTAATGAAATAGAAAAGTAGCTGCACCACCGCCTAATGCATATTTTTCACCTAAGCAAACAGGTTAAGTCATCTGATAAAAGAGCTTAGCCAGCTTAAGCATTTGCAATCCCCCAGACATTTATGGTCAGAGAAAATGCCTTTTGGCCTCCTCTTTATTTCCAGTACGTATACATTTGGCAAATCCCAAAACCGAAGTCGAAAATTATTCGATTATTTGCTCGGAAGTACAAAATAAAAAAAAGAAGCTCAATCGATTTGAATAGTCAATGTCTCGGCGGAATTTGCCAGCTGAATATTTGCATTTGATATTAAGCATTAATATAGATTTCTGTGTGAATGAACTACATTTTGTGTGAGCTGTGCTATGAATTCCACCGAGATAGTCGTCGTTCCATTTCTATATGTTTTCTTCTTGTTATCCTTTCGTCTCGAGTATCAAGGATATGTCCGAAGTCAAAAACATTTAGTTGCAGAGTTCTGTAGACCGCAAATTAAATGAAAATAAAATGCATTCCCTCTCGGCGCAGGCAAGTAAATAAAAATGTGTATATATAAATAGAGGTGCATTTATTTATATACTTGTAGAGTGACAGGCGGACGAAAGCCCCCATTCCATTCCACTGCACTCTACTCCACCTCTTCTTTTCTTTTCGGCCGATATGTACAGGCATGCATAGATATATGTGACACACATAGACGAGTGGAGAAGTTTCGAGCAATTCTTTTTAAGCGTTTTTCCTTGTTTGTGTATATTTACCTTTGGGATTTATGAGATTAGTTGCAGACGCACACAGATGCACCCGCACGGTGACTGCAAATGAAAAGCAGTTTGCAATTGCTTTGAATGCAAGCAGAAAAATATTTAATACAGCTCACAGCACTCGCACAGGCACACACTAGCACACAGCCACACAGATACACAGACAGGGCGGAAAGGACACGAAGACATTGCACAAAGGACACGCGCACACACACGTTGGCACACACACTGACAGCCAGACGCATCGTCACACAGACAACTTCATTTCAAGTGCAGCGAAGCGCGCCTTTTCAGTCGCAGACAAATGTCCATGTGGGTACAGTACGCACAGGCAGTTGGCGAACCCCAATTATGTTAATACAAATAAATTCAATTTTGTATCCGAGCTCACAGTTTC